GATGAAAGCTAGTTTATGAAGAAATTTGAAGGAACGTTAGATGTGTAAAACCCTCTGTTATTTTTGCTGTAATTAATGATACTAATAGGGATGACTATTAATAGCTTCAGCCAAAAAATGTATGTGCCTAGTTTGCTGTTCTTTCTGCCTCAGTTCCTCGTTTCCTGGATCTTTGCGGGGCCTGGGACTTGGGTCATTCAGGTTTCCGCTTTCATTTCACCTCCTCAGAGGCGATTTGCAGTCACAGCACATGATCTTGTTTTCTGTTCATTATAATACTTAGCCTGCTGTCTTCCACTTTATCTGCTGCTTTGTTTGTCTCTCTCTTCCCCTAGAATGAAAACTTCCTGTGACAAGTGCCTCATTCGGTGTTCCTTCTCTGGAACCCAGAAGCACATGTCACATAAGAGATGCTCAAGAAATAAATGATGAGCTCATTTAATCTTTATAACAACCCTGGAGGCAAAACTACATTTGACACATGAGGAAAACATGTGGAAAGATATAAATAATTTGCCAACTGGAATTGCTGTGATGGTTGTATGGGCATCATGTTAATACACCTGCTACATTTACAAGAAGTTGGAAAGCTAATGTCTTGTGTCTGTTCACTTCTGGGCATGAGTGGCCTAAATGTTTGCTAGAAAGATATCTTTGTTTTCTTTAATTTCTCTAGAGGGGTCTTCAGTTCTCAATTCATAACGTGGTTTAATTTTAGTGCCTCAAAACTTTCACTGTCTTTCTAGTACCGTTAAAATTTCTTTGGAACTTAATTAAATTAAAAATAGTTTCCTTATTATAAAAGCAATGCTTATTTACTGTAAGAAATAGATAAGAACAGAAAGAAAAGAAAAAAAAACAAAAAAGAAAAAAAATTTTTAATTCATCCACAGTCTTGCACCCAGGTAAACACTAGCATCTTATTAATCTCCTCTGGTAATACAGGATAGTCAAAGATATACTTTAAAATGGGTTAATTTGGGGGCATCAAAGTGGCTCAGCCAGTTAAGCATCCAAATCTTGATTTTGGTTCAGGTCATGATCTCCAGGTTGTGAGATCGAGCTCCACATTGGACTCCACGCTCAGCGGGGAGTCTGCTTGAGATTCTTTCTCTCCCTCTCCCTCTGCCCCTCCCTCCACTCAAATAAATAAGTCTTTAAAAAAATAAAGTGGCTTAGTTTCTTACATACTGTTTCACTATATTTCAAATAATATATTGTTTAGATATTTTCACATTATTGTTCATCTATATAATGTTGAAAGTCAATATGGTATTTCTATTATGTGAAAGGATATATCGTGACTTACTGAATGGTGGGGAGGGGGAATTGGGGGAACGGGGTCACAGGATACAAACTTCCAGGTACAAGATAAGTAACCACTGGGGATGTCACATACAGCACGGTGACTGTAGCTGACACTGATGTGTGGTGTGTAGGGAAGTTGTGAAGAGAGTAGATCCTAAGATCCTAAGGGTTCTTATCACAAGGAGAAATTCTTTTCTTTTTTTTCTTTTTTTTTCTTTTTTCTTCTTTCTTTCTTCTTTCTTTTCTTTTCTTTTCTTTTCTTTTCTTTTCCTTTCTTTTCTTTTCTTTCTTTCTTTTCTTTCTTTCTTTCTTTCTTTCTTTCTTTCTTTCTTTCTCTTTCTTTCTTTCTTTCTTTCTTTCTTTTTCTTTCTTCTTTTTTTCTTTCTTTTCTTTCTCTCTTTCTCTCTCTCTCTTTCTTTCCTTCCTTCCTTCCCCCTCATTCCCTCCTTTCCTCATTCCCTCCCTCCCTCCTTTCCTCCCTCCCTCCCTTCCATTCTTTCTTTCTTCCCTCCCTCCCTTCGTCCCTTTCTTTCTTTCTTTCTTTCTTTGAGATGATGAATGCTACATTTAGCCACCAGGTAGCTATGCGACCTTATGCAGGTTACTTAGGTCTCATTTGCCTTTACATATGCAAAACTGTGATAATTATTTTATAGGGTTGTTATTAGCATCAAGTGAGTTTGAGTATGTAAAATATGGGCCACAGTGCCTGGCACTTGGTGAACATTTGATAAATGGTAATTTTTTTTAAAGATTATTATTTATTTTAGAGAGCTTACGTGCATGCATGAGTGGGGGAAGGGGCAGAGGGGGAGAATCCCAAGCTGACTTGGGACCCAGCTGAGCGTGAGGATCCAGGACCCTGAGATCACAACCCGAGCCGAAACCAAGAGAAAGATGTTCAACAGACTGAGCCACCCAGGTGCCCCAATAAATGTTAATTATTATTATAATTCACAGAAAGTTTGAATGTTTATGTAGTCATATTTATTTTTCCTTTAGCCACAGTATGATGCTTAGGAATTACTCAAAGGCTATATGAATATTCACCTGTATTTTCTTATGGACAATTCCAGAACTTCTATGTTTTTATATTTTACATTTAAGATCTTTAACATATATGGGATGTATTTTGTGGTTTATTATGAAATGATCATCTCATTACATATTTTTTCCTTATATGGTTAATCACTTTTCCCAACATTTAATGAACAAACTATCATTGCTCACAGATTTGGAGTCCTACTTTTATTATATGCAAACTCCCATACATACATGAACTCATTCTTGCTTTTTCTCTTTTCTCATGGATGTGTCTTAACTAGTTCTGCAACGACTACTGCTCTATTTATTGCAGTTTTAGGATATGTGTTAGTATCTGAGAGGGAAAATAAATGCCAGCTTATAATGATATTTTCCAGCTTCTGAGATATTCTTGTATGGCAGTATTTTTACATTAACACTAAACTTGGCAAACTGATACTTAAATAATCATGAATAGCATTAAAAAATAATAGCATTAAAAATAGCTTAATTTGATGGAGAATACCTTTTATCATACCATAGTCGCATGCAGAAACACAGTATATCCCTCTGTTCATGCTTTTAAATAAAAGTACCTCAGAAAAACTTCATAGTTACCTTAATATTAATAGTGAATATTGCTTATTAAGATTATTTCTAGGTATTTCAGATTTTTTGCTCTTGTGAGTGCTATCTCTTTAACCGATGTGGTTACTGCTCTTATGTAGAAATTTATTTATTTTTTTAGAAATTGCTATTGTCATGAGCCACCTTACTGACTTACCTGCTCTTGAAATTTCAAGCTGATTTTGTGTGTCAACTGTACTTCAATTTTAAAAATTTAAGCTGATCTTTTTGAATTTTTCAAGGAGACAGTCACATTATTTGCAAATACAATGATTCAGTCTCTTCATACCTAATATTCGTAACTCAGTTTTTCTTGAGTATATTGGTTAGAACATTTAAAACACTGTTTAATGACAACCACTATAACAGAAGCCTCACTCTTTCTGTCTTTGCCCAAAATGTCCCATCTGCCATGGGAGGGCCATAATGGCTCCTTCCCAGCACTGCCTTCCTGAATGCCTGTCTTCAGACGAGTTCTTCCATGCACCCTCGTCAGCAGAAACCAAGCAGGAACAGTGGCTCATCATTTCCTTCTCCACACTGACAATATTTTTCTCAGTGATAACAGCTATTTCAGTCAAAAAACTGTATGTGTTCTAGATTTCCCAATAGTTGATTTTAGGGGAAAATGCAGTTGGTTTCATTTATGTTTTCTGTTACCTTTGCAGAGGAGAGGCTGATTACGTGTTGATCTTTCTCATTTGTTACGATCTCCATGATGCTGAACATGTGTCCCACAAGTTTCCCCACCGGCTTGGTGCTGATGTTGGGGTGCCACAACCGGAGCACCTTATCATCTCCTGAAAGGGACGGCATGGGGGGATTATTTGTTTTCTCAGGGATACAGCTGGTCAAAATTTAAAGAGTCCCTCTCACTCAGTCATATCCTTACCACCCTTCTAATATCAAATCACAGTCTGCTTCTTCCAGGATGCCCTCTAGGATTGACTTGCTTTGGAACCACTTCCTCCTGTCAAGGCTATTTGGAAATAATTGTATTTACACACACAAATATGAATTCTTATAAATATTTTATCAGTCCCTTTCTTGTTTCAGTACTTTCCCACTCATTCATACATTAATGTATTATTTATATTTTATTTAATTCCCAAAGTATTTTAGACAGTTGTTCTTTTGTTTTCACTTTCAGAGGAAGAGGAAAATTGCACATAATCTCTACCATTATAACAAATCAACTGTCTCCATCTTCCCTTCGGGCACATATCCATAAGCATATATAATTTACATGTAGTTACTACCATAGCATACGTACTATTTTTTTAATTGTTAAAATCACACGAATACACGGTAAAAGATTTAAACAATATGGAAGGGTATAATTTTTGTCAAAAATGTCTTCTTTCCCCTCAGAATCTGTACTTCCACTCCCTACAGGTAATCCCTGTTCACTTTTCCCCCCCTCTTTCTTACAAATAAACTTTTTCTTTTCGGAGTTAAGAAAAACACTTTTCCACTCATATTAAATACTTTGAATTATTTTCAGTAGGTATTTAGATAACCATTTCTCAACAAAAAAATCACTGTAACTAACTTATCTTAGTTAAAATTAAAATTAAAAAATATATATATAAATAAAAATATATTATAAATATTGCCAAAATACAAAAAAATCAAGGTTTCTTAAAATGTATTTTTACTGAGAAGTCACAGCATGCTATTTTGAGCAGAGACAGAGACAGACCAAATCAAAGTTTTGTAGAACGGATTTGTCACTTTGTTATTATATGTGGGGTTTGCAAGGCAAGTCACTTTTGTTTTTTCCCAGCTTTATCGAGATATAATTGATTGTGTGAGTTTAAGGTGTGCAACATGATTATTTGATATAAGTATAGTGCTCGCGGGGCGCCTGGCTGGCTCAGTAGGTTAAGTGTCTGCCTTTGGCTCAGGTCATGATCCCAGGGTCCTGGGATCAAGTGCCTCATTGGGTTCCCTGCTCCATGGAGAGCCTGCTTCTCCCTCTCCCCCTGCCTCCCTCTCTTTCTCTCATGAATAAATAAATAAAATCTTTAAAAAAAAGTATAGTGCTCACTTGGGCAGCATATAGACTAAAATTGGAATGATACAGAGGAGGTAGCATGGCCCCTGCCCAAGGATAAGCGTATATTGCAAAGTGATTACTTCAGTTAGGCTAGAACACATGCATCACCTCAGGGTTACCTTTTTTTCTTATCATGAGAACTTATGAGATTTTCTCTCTTCATAACTTTCAATTATAAATACAATTCTGTTAACTGTAGTCACCACATGTCTATTACATGCCCAGAACTTACTCATCTTCTAACTGGAAATTTGTACCTTTTTTAGAATACAAATTTTATATATCCAATATAACTAAAATAATAAAATATAATTAGTATACATGCCCATCTTTTTTTTGCATTTATGGAAGGTCACAGGCTCACACCTTCATAATTATCATTTTGGTTGCTACATCAAAATTTCCTACCATTTGTCTGTCAATAAATGTTCCTGCTAATTCTAGTTTTTCATTTTATTCAACAACACTGCAATAGTTATTCAGGTGGTTTTTTTTTTCTTCTTTTGGAGATATACACTGAGGATAAATTCCCCTATTGTTAGGTTGCTTTCCAAAATGGTTGTACCAAATGCCAAGGCCATCAACTATATATGATTATACCAGCTTCATCAAATTCTGGCAAGCACATGGATATTATCATGATTTAAAATATTTGCTATATTAATGTCTAAAATGACACTTTATTTTTATTTAATTTACATGACAGCTGATACTGCTGAGTATTTTCTCCCATGTATATCTGCTAATTGTATCTCCTCCTGTGAATTGTTCGATCATATCCTTTACCCATGGTCTATTAGAATTCTGGTGATAGTAAAAATTAAAATTTAATAAAATTTTATTATCATATGCACACACACACACACACACATCCAGTTTCGTGGTAAAGACTGGTTAGTTGTTCACCACACCCTTATTGTCTTACTGGGTGCACAACTAGACTACATTTCCCAGAGTCCCTTGCTGTTAGATGTGGTCAGATTACCGACTTTTAGCCAGTAAACTAAGGGAATTGATTTAGATTTAACATGACTAAGGAGAAATACATTTCCATTTTGTTTGATTCATTACACATTTTGAGGTTTATTTCTTACAGTAGCTAGCATTACCTGAACTAATGCATAGTCATAGTCTAATTGTTTTTTCAAAAAAGCAACTTAAACCTAAATTTTTTTTTAAAGATTTATTAATTTGTTTAGAGAAGAGAGCACACAGGTAAGCGGGGGGAGAGGCAGAGAGAGGGAGAGAAAGAATCTCAAGCGGACTCCCCACTGAGTGAGGAGCCCAACGTGGGGCTCAATCCCAGGACCCCAAGATCATGACCTGAGCTGAAATCAAGAGTTGGAGGCTCAACCGACTAAGTTACCCAGGCACTCCTAAGATTAAGTGATTTTTAATTAAATGATTTACTTTACTTTAAATTTAATGATTTAAATATGATTTGTCCAGAATCACATATAAGAAAATGGTATACATTAGGAATATATGGAGCATTCTTGAGCATCTTATTTGTTAACCAGGATCTTCAGGGCACCAAGAAAAAAAGATTATATAATAGCATTATAGCCTAAGTTATAATTTATATATAACCTAAGTTATAAAGTTACAATTTATGTATTAATAAAATCTAAAATTCAAAGAGGCCATGATAGTTAATCAGGTAGCCTGATTATTTTGTGGCCTACAGGATGAATTTGCTGATATATATTGGACTTTTTATGGAAATATACTTACACACACTGCAAGAGCCAGTCAGTTATGCAGGAGAATTAGATGACTTGCCAGTTGGATATTCATAACCCAGGGAAATGTGATAGACACAGATGTTTTCATAATTCTCTGATTATTTTGTCTGGTTTCATGAAAAAAGGGAACAAAGTATTTTCTTTACCTTTTTCTTTCTCCCCTTTGAGTATTCCAAACCATTCTTCAAATCGTAGCATGACTGTACCTCCAAGAATATTTCAGAATGTCTTCATATTCTTTAAAACTAAGAGCCCCTGCCTATGTGTCCTTTACCCCTGGCATCTTTTATAGTTAATGATTCAATTTTCTGTACCATCCACTTGAAAGCAGAACTTCTTTTTTATTATACTACCTCAAGAGTGTAACCCACAGTGGGAGTTCAGATATTTATTGAACTCCCATAACTTCAATCTTGGGATGCTGAATCCTAGCTCAGAGGTTTAGCTAGCCAGTGGCACAAGACCGTGAAAACACGTATCCAAACAAAAACAAGTCTTTGTTAAATGTTCACGTGACTCCTTTAATAAGGCCAGTTCTTTCATTCCAGAGGTCCTTGGGGCCTGGAGTCTTAGTAAAGGCAGACTGAAAAATCTCGGGGCACAGCTGACTCTTACTTTCCATTTCTCCGGCAACTGGTATGGATAGAATTGTTTCCCCAAAATTCATATGTTGAAGCCTTGACCCCTAATGTGATGGTATTTGGAAATGGGGCCTTTGGGAGATAATTAGATTTAAATGAAGTTATTTGAGTTGAGCCCTAATGATGGGATTAGTGTCCTTATAAGAAAAGACCAGAGAGCTCGCTCGCTCTCTCTCCCTGTGGGGATATAGCGAGAAAACAGCCATTGCAGGCCAGCTAGAGAGCTCTCACTAGACATTGACCATGCTGGCACTTTGATCTTGGACTTACAACCTCTAAAACTGTGAGAAATAAATTTCTGTTGTCTAAACCACCCAGCCTATGGTATTTTGTTATGGCAACCTAAGCTGACCAAGACAGAACCCAAGATATTTTAAGTACTATTGTCAGTGGGTAAGTGGGATATTTTCTTTCTTTGTTTCTTCCTTTCTTTTAAGTGGGATATTTTCTTAAATTTAAAACTTCCATGTTATCCTTATTAACAAGAAGAAAAATACCTCGAGAAATTACTATACACTTGGCATTTTGCTAGATGTTGAAGATACAAAAAAATCTAGACACTGACCCTATTGAAAGTTTTTTTTTTTTTTCCCAGAAGACCAAAACTTATACCTTTTTGGACTTAGTTCCAACATTTCCTTCCTAAGGCTGCCCCCGATCAGTGTCCCCAGCCTCAGATGGAGTTAAGTCTTCTTCCCGTTCTGAGGGTGTTTTCTTCAAATTTTGTTTATAGCATGAGCTCTATTAAATTATAGTTGTTTGTGTAAATACCTGTTTACTTATTTTCTGGTGAGCCTTATATTTCTCATCTATAGCAGTGTTTGACAAATAGCAAGTGCTTAATACATGTTTGTTAAGTAAATGAGTTGGCTAATAGAGTGACTCATGAAGTGCTTAAAAAATACTTATTTTGGGAAAGTCTACCCTGATTTGAAACCTGGCTCTATCACTCACTAGCCTTATGGCTTTAAGTAAGTGACCTCACCTTCTGTGTCTGGGTTTCCTTATCTGTATATATAATGGGGATGACCAGAATTTATGTAATAACCTTATTGTGAGACTAAATGCGGTCATCCATGGATAATCTGAGCAGTTCCTGGAGTATGAGCTGACTATGACTACTCTGTTCTTTTCTTCTAAGTCCGGGCCATTTGAAACACTAACAACACTTTATAAAATGTTTAGGGGAGACAGAGAGGAACTGATACACAGATGTATGAAACATGGGCCCTGCTCTGGAGAGTTTGTAATCTAGTGGTAGCACTAAGACAAGCATGAAAGATATAGAGGGAAAGGAAGTATCTGCAGAAAATAATTCAAATCTGAAGGTAGGACTTAATACTATAAATGATATATTATGGTTCATTAGGGGTTAATTCCTTGTTCCTTTGTTATTTTCCATTTTTTTTTCTCTCTTCCTTTTTATTAACCAGGATTCAGATAAAGCCACATATAAAGATAGGATTTCTTTCCTTTAGCAAGCTCTTATCTCAGCTGGTGAGTCAGTGGATCCAAATGCCTCACTCTTGATGAGATGAGCTGGCTCAGTGCAGAGAGAAGAGGGTGGGAGAGACTGTGTGAACCAGATTACGGTGGTCCTGGTGGTCCAGCAGGGAAGAGCAGGGGCTGGGAGAAAGGAGGACAGACTGGAGCTCAGTTCTACCAGCTGACTAGTCACATGATGAGCTGAAGCAAATCATTCTCTTTTCTTGGGCCTCAATTTCCTTATCTGTAAAATTTTGATCTCCCAAGATTTCTTCCCACTCCAAAGTTTTATGATTGTGTGCTGGGGAGGGAGAGGTTACTACAGTGAGAATAGAGAGCAATCTGGAATTGTAAAGGTCATGAGAAAAACTCCAGATTTATCAGTTACATGACTCATACTGAATAATTCTGATAATGCAGTATCTTGCTTGCCTTTGCTTTTCTCTGGCAAAGGCTGAGAAGTCTTACCTTACTCCAGTATGTCCAGAACTTGAGCCTCAGGCCCCCAGGTGGTTGGCCGGGCTGCCCCCTTGAAATGGACTTTATCATCCTGTTGGATGAGGTCAGGCTATCCCCAGAAGGAAATCTGTGACTTGCGTGCCACAGGAAGAAGGATACAATAGAAGATTGCCACGTGAGAAATGTGGCAAAGAGCTTTGTCCAGTGTGCATTATGAAGGAAACCCCATTTTACAGAGGGCTCCTCTGGTCTGCTACCAGACGTCTTCCAGCTCTGCTTGCTTTCCAATGATAGCAATAGAATCCTCACAGGGTCTGTGTGGTGGCTTTTTGGAGCCAGAATGATCAGAAAGGGACATGATACTAAGCTCTAAATGCCTACAGTGTTTAATCTGTATTGTTATTATTATGATTATGAATCTGTTAACTCATGTTCCATGTTGTATTACAGCTGTGTATTAACATGTCCTATTTGTACCATTAAATTTTGAATTCTTGAAGGTTAAAATATAACCTGATCTCTATGATTCATGAGGCCTAGTCCGTAGCAGTTGTGCAAGAAATATTTGTTGAATGAAACATTAACAGATGCATGCAGAGCCCCCAAATTATCTTGGATGGCAGAGAATCATTTGTATACACTGGACCTTGAAAGTAGGAGTTTATTCTTAAAATGGCCAAGAGAGGTAGCAATGAACTAAAAACAAATGCTCAGGAAGCTTGCAATTTTATTTTGTTTTGTTTTGTTTTGGTAAGTA